AACAATATATATAATAACAATAATAAACATTCTTGTATCATAAATAATATAATTTTAGAACTAATATATTGTATTTTTAGATATTTTTTCCTATCTCTCACGAGTCGAAAATTAATTACTAAGAATGCACAATCAAATTTAATTCATTAATTTAATATAGTGACTTAAAATACTTACACCACGTAAGGGAAAATTAGAGCCGTAATTGCGAAATTTACCAACGGGCGCCGCGCCGTTGTCGGTGAGGAAAAGAATCACCGAATCCCTCAGCATGCCTCGACTGCCCAAAGTATTGACGATGAGTCCAACGGAATCGTCTAATTTCGATACCATTTCTAACGAAATTATAGACAAGATGACAAAGATACTCGATTAAAATAAGTTATAAATTAACATTGAATATTTGTTTTAATTATTTGACGTAAACTTTTGCAGTTATTGATCAATGTAAAACAATTATCAACTTTTGCCGTAACATAATCGTACGCACTGGCATATTTGCGGCGATTTTGTTCCACGATGTGCATGAATCGTTTATCGTAGTGATCATAATCTTGCGGATTCTCGAGAGGGGCATGAACAGCAAGGTGCGATATTTGGAGATAGAGCGGTCGAGACGGATCGTGGGTCTGAATAATCCTGACTGCCTCGTCGGTGAAAAGATCCGTCACGTATTTGTCGGTTAAGCCGTAAGCCGGAGCATCGCCACGATGCATATCGTACCCGCTCATATTCTGATATACATGAAAAAAGAGTATCGAGTATCGAGCAACGAAATGTAATAACAATCCAGCAAATAAGTTGACGTCTTTAAAATCATTTTTTCAATCAAAATAACGACAAAATAATATTAGTTTGTACCGGAAAAAGATAAATTAAAGAAAACAAATTTGTACGAATATTTATCTGAATAAAATTTTCTTACGTTATTATCATGTTATGCATGTATTAGCTATTATATAAATATATAAGTCTCACATAGAAAACGTAATAAAAGTCATTTATTATAATAATATTAAAAATTAATTATTTACAATTATTTATTATTTTACAAGTACACAATTTATAAAAAAATGAATAAAAGACAGAAAGAATTATAGTTTCTCAGAAGCCAAATTAATTGATTAATTCCATAAAACAAAAAGTAGAGGATGTTGAAGTTGTAAATTAGTCATGAGTTGTATACTAAACTTGAAAAATATGTAAAAATTAGAGTTAATCAATTTAGCTTCTAAAATACTTGCACAATCCTTTTCTTCTCTTTTATAATTTATCTCGTACAAATCTCCAAGTAATTTTTGTTATATTTTTCTCGTAAGACTAGATTGTTAATAAAATGTACAAGAGATAAAACTTTACATGCGTTTTGATAATTTATCAAATTACGAAATGACCGATTCGATCGAAATATGTACCTGATATGAGTATTTATAGTCATAATACGAAACGTGACTATTATAAAAGCCAAGGAAAGAATCGAAGCCACGGTGCAAGGGAGTGTGCTGAGGCGTGTGATATCCCAAGTGCCATTTCCCAATCAGCTTTGTCGTGTACCCCAACCCCCGTAGATGTTCCGGCAAAATCCTCACACTGAGGGGTAGTCCTCTGGGTTCGCCACCCTGTATACTTTCTCCTTGCATACCTATACCGAACAACATAGATTGACTGCATACGAGAGCATCTCGGATGCTACGTTAATTCACGCGACTACATTAATTTAATAAAATTTAGAAAAAAAAGATCCGCTGTCGGTATTATACAACTTTCATAGAAATCTTCAAAATCGTTTTTAACCTCTTTTTAATGCCTTTTTTCTTAAAAATTTTGAAGCGATTTGTTGCATACGAATCCGTATTCAACAGACAAAAATATAAAAATGACTTCATATGTGCAGCAAAAATGAAAATTTTATGATCAGCGTCATAAATTGTTTCGACCTTTACGTGTCTCGTAACCTCGACGTGTCTTTTCTTGTTGCTCGAACAATTCGTAAATATCGTAAAACTTTGCGAAATGATAAAAAAAACTAATCAAACTGACTTCTAAAATAAAAAAAAAGAAAAAGAAAAAAAGCTGACAATGGAATCTATTTTTCACGCACGAACTTTGTAGTGTGAATAAATGAAAATCATCGCGTTAAAGCAATGAATAATACATACCCATACGAATCGGATACTTTCCGGTAAAAAACGCCGTTCTAGAAGGTGTGCTGGACGGTAAAACGTAATGTCTATTTAATATAATTCCATTGTATGCCAGAGCGTCTATGTTTGGGGTCGGTATCTGATTCGAGCCGTGGAAACCAACGTCATTCCACCCCTAAAAATTTGGAATGTTTTATTTTCAGTCAACATGCATATAATACGGAAATATATAATAAAAATTAATTAGTAATTAAAACGAGGTATTAATAATTTGATAATTTATTTTTAAAATTTATTATTAAAAGATAAATCTCATACTAGCATAGCATTTTTAATTGGCTGCTGCAGTCAGTTAAAAATGCTATGTCATATTTAATCCATCTTTTCTTTCAGTGCAGCAAATACCAACTAGCAGTGATATAATTATAGTTGTAATTTCTCATTCAATACACACATAACTATAATTATAATAAAACACATGTTGTACGTAACATTATATTATTGAATGGAAAATTATAATTAAGTTATGTTACTGTTAATATTACAGTTGATGTTTACTGGGACATGTACATTCAAAACTTCTTTCGTACCGGAAGCCTAACATATAAAAATTACATGATCGAATTAAATTGTAATTGGCGTGTGTAGGAATTATCATTCCGTCGTGACGGAATGAGTCACAATTCATGACATGCGTACTGTTGATTGCGGAGGCGTAGATAATACGTAAGCTACGATAATTAACTCAACTAAGGATAATTTTAATCTGGAATACTTTTGCGTAAATTAATCGTGCTGAATTGTGTATATAAAGCAAGCGCCAGTAACGCAAAGTGTAATGATGTTTATGCACTGTTATATATATATATGTCTGTAATATAAAGTATTATTCTTTAATAATTAATATATGTGCAAAATGAGATTCTTAATTACTTTCTCATCAAATTTGCGAATAAGCAAATTGACAAAGCGCGATTTTACATAAAAATTAAGATAGATAAAAGAATTATGTACTAACAATAAGTAACTTTTAACTCAATAAAAGATAATGCTCAAATTTTACAGAGCTATTCAGATGTAATAATAAAACAATTTATGAATTACAGAATCTCAAGACTGATCTTCATAAACTTCTTAAGATTTATCCTATTCTTCTGCTTTTCCTTTCTATTTCTAAATTTCTATTGTATATTAACATTATAAAACTCTATAACTAGGTATACTTGTAAAGTATATTTAAATATCTGAATTTTTTAAAATAATATAGAATATTTCTAACTTCTCTTTTTATCTTTTTAATTAAATTTTAATCCTCACTTCTTGTAAGGAGATAAGACAATAAATAAAAAAGGATTTAACAATAGTAAAACTCTGCTTTTGGAAATTAAATAAAAAAAGGAAAAGAGAAGATTTATATATTTAGAAATGTAATACATATTCACTTATTCTTATGTTTTATAATGCAATTATCAACTAAAGTATCTTCGTTTTTATCAATATATTTACCAAATCATCAGCCATCAAGACGATTATATTCGGTGCTGTTTCGTAACCAAATGCAGTTCCAAACAACAAAAAAAGACAAAAAACTTGATAAATATCAATCCGTGATTGTGTCATTAAATGCACCATCTTCACAATGATTTAACTGTTTTTAAATATTTAAGAATTACAAAAAAGAAGAGAAATAAATTTCACTCTTCGTCCACGAGCGGCTTCTTTTTCGCACCTCGCGTCACTCGGTAGCAATACTCGCATAAACAAAAGGAGGATACATCATTTACACAACATATATATTCACCGACGAGCTCTTGCGAGATAGGAGCAAGAAGAGGAGACAAACAACGTTTATATATCCCACCCACGAAAGAGCGTCATGAATGGATCAAGGGGAACTGAAATAAGGGAACATGTATATTAATGATCACGACAATGACAAAGATAACATGTTTTAAACTGGGTTGCTTCTCGTCTTACAACCTATTTTCCCTACTTATCTAATTCCCTTCCGCGACTGACCGCGATTACTTACGTTCACGTAGAATTAAGATGTAACGTAAGAGAGAAGTATTACAAAGAACGCAGTACTCTTTCATTTTTACTCTGAAGTTTCAGTCATCCTTACGATTAATGATGCCGGATGCTTCTTACAAATTTAAAATATATAAGCAGAAAAAAAATTAACAGTATGTTGTCATAAAATGTGTAGTACAATCACTAAGGTGGAAATTTACATAGTTAATCTAAAAGTCGTAATGATAAAAAATTTTTAGAATATATTAAATTAATCTTTACTCTTTAGAACATATTAATTTAATCTTTAAACTCAAATTATAAAAACTGTTAAAATCACTTACATTTTCTGTATTATAAGGATACACAGAGTAGTTGTGAGAATAATGTTTGTCTAAAAAAATTATAAAAAAATATACTGCAAACTTCCTGACTAATGTCGAATTAATTGTTATAAATATACTTGAAAAACTACGCACATAAAATATTATATATTATAGATATAATATCATTTATATATTTGCACAAATTTACATGTATCGCATAATTAAAAATAGGAAAGGTCACATTTTATATTCAGTATTTTTTCTTGAAAGACCATCAATTGAAAAGACTTATTTTACATCTTTTATTTATTTTCTTATTAAAGAAATCGTTTTTTCATCAACTACATTATTATTCACCAAAAATTTGAAATACATCATGATAAACATAAGCATCCTTTGTCACTATGATAGTTATCGACATTGACGCAACGAGTGACGTATTAATTAAGACGTCCAAATAATTAGCAACGCTTTGAACGAGCGACCAGTTAAATGAGCGCATACCTACATCTCCGCAGCCTTTAGAGTTGACAAAATGAAATAGTGGAGAAGTGTGTATGTCGCTCATTAAGAGCTGTAAATGTAGTTCATGGTCTAGAAACAATGTGACGAATTGGTTCAAGAGTATTTAAAAAAATACGGAAATGAATTAATTAGGAACATATAGAAGTAGAAACGAAGAATGTTGCAGAGATAAAAGCGAATTTCAGTAACAAATTTATTTACTTACATTCATATATAATAATTAATAAAATATATGTACATATTTAATAAAATATATACATTTTGCAATAAGGAAATAACATTCACAGATGCAAGCTCATCTTTTTATAAAAATTTAAAAACGACTAATTAAAATCCATCGGTTATATTTAGAAAATATTTCTACAAATATATAAATTGCACAATTTACGTATATACATAAAATATTTAAATTAAGAAAACACAGGTACAAACATATCCCATAAACTTAAATCCATAAATTTAAATCCATTTCCTCAGTAATATAATACAAGAATTGTTATTCCGGCGACTTATGTAATATGTATTAGACAAGTTTTATACTTTGGTGACAAGAAACCTATTCTTTTTCAGTTAAACTTCTTGAATGTGACTTTTCTCTTGTTCTCTTTATTAAAAAAAATGAATGGTAAAAAGTTCAGCTAAAAAAAGAACAGATATAAGATCTATACATGTCTACAAATTAATCCGTCAACAAAATTATATTTTGGTGATCTTGCATTTCAGCTAAGGCATGTAGATTATCCCACCAATGCAGCAGTTTAAAATTGTAAATCATACGAAACCACGGTGTCATCAGCGGTATAGTCTTCATAAAATTCTCGATCTCCGATCGCGACACCCATTGAATCTCGCTCACTTCATCGGGATTGGGATTTATGGTGAGATCGTCCCGTTGCAGAAACAATATGTAATCGATCTCGTGTTCACCCCAGCGATTATTACTGGGTGCTTGATAGCAAATTCTTGTCAAGTAAAATAAGTCAGAAGGTTTGATCTCATCGCTAGGTATACCCAGCTCATAACCGAGTCTTCTTATCGCAGCTCGGCGTACACCTATAGCATCTTCTTCTTCTATTTCATTAGGAATCTCCGCTAAGGGATGACTGCAGCACGTATTCGTATAGCAATTTGGAAATGTTATCTGTAATATAAATTATATAAATTCGAGATGTATGAAAAATATTTGTAGAAAAATGAACATAATTATTTCACATGAAAAATTTAGTTCGTTACAATTTTAGTCTGTTGACAATTAAGATTGTCACAATTAAGACTTTTACTATGGATTTCTTGGAATTTTTATTTTTAATTTTAGTCTTCAAGGTATTTAATCTTATGGGTTAAGCCTCCCGTGCTCAGACTATACATTAGAATTGAAATTAGATTAAAATTTGCATAAAGCAAAGTCCACTAAACTTCATATTAGTTTTCTTTTTTCCAATTGGTTAAATTCCAATCGAATCTCAATTTTAATCTGCAGATCATTAGAAAATTTCGATAAATAAAACTGAATGTGATTTAAGTAGAGAATATGAGTTTCCAAATTCACATATATCTTTCCTTTACTTTATAAAACTGATATGAATAAAAAAATTAAATTGTTTAGAAAAAGGGAAAACCATTTTTTAGTTGTGACAATTTCAATTTCCTACAAAATTATAATATAAATCAGGAATAATTCTCAAAAGTGACATGACTCAAAATATCACCAACTGTATATATATTTTATCAGAGTCTGATTATTCAATTTTTACTTATATGGTTAAAATATTCAAGATCATATTTTAAAATAATTATTAAAGGAGATTCTCACCTTGGCGCTCGATCGCTTCTGGAGTAACAATTCCTTTTTACTATTAAACAGAAAGACGCTGAATGCCCTATGTAGCGGTACACATCCCTCCGTATTAATCTCATGACAGACTTGCTTGGTAGCTTCACCAACAGGCTTATCTAATTTATCAACGAGTATGCAGCGTTCCTGTAAAGCAGCTTTCTGCAACTGTGTTACTTGCATTGTTCCATAATCTTTCTCCACAAGTGTTATCATTTTATGCATAATATCACTGAGATTCCTGTATGCTCCTCTGATCATCACTAACCAGTCACCTGCCGAATAATGACTAAAAAGAAACAAATGAGAACATAATATACCTTATCTTATATAACAAAAATAAATATTCATAAGAATATCCAAGTCAAAACAACAAGCCACAATAACGTCAGAATAACATTAAATTGGAAATAATCAAAAAAAAACTTAATGATTTTATAATTATTCTGACACCATTTTGATCATAATAACTTGTTTTGTTTAGGATACGACTTCAAGAAGCAGAATTTTATTTTTTGATTTGGCAATAGAATTTATAGTCACTTAGATAAGAATGAATTAACTCGAGGAGCACACACAAGGACATACCTACCACGTGGCAAAACACGTCGATAACTGGACTGTATCAACGAGATGCCAAGCTGAGCGTTTCCATTCAACTGCGTCACGAGCATCGTCCGACTTCCCAAGAAAACATCCAATCGCGGACGAGCCTAGTTGAGCAACATAATATCAAGAATGGTACCTACGACGAACGGGAATTCTTCGTG